GACACCAAGGACAAGGGCCATGAGTCGAGAAACAGCCTGGCAAACCCGAGGGGCCGCGGGAAGGCTCATAAGCACAAAGGGGAGAGTATCAGGTGGTGTGGCAAAGGCCATCTCATGCAAGGTCTTCTATGCCCTACTGGGGAGTTGATTCCAAGTGCAGTGGGAAGCCACTGGGGAGTTTTAAGTGAGAGAAAGTAAGTCAGTTTTGCTTTGAAAGGATCACTGTGGCTGCTCTGTGGACCATGAACTATACAGTGCAGCAAGAGTGGACGCAGGAGCCACCCAAGGCTGTTGCAGTTGTATGAGTGTGAGATGATGGCGGTCTGGACCACTGCCACCCTGTGGGACTGGAAACGGGAGAAGCGGTTTGATTTGGGCTGTGTTTGTATATTAGTGTAGCAGGACTCAGCGGTGGATTGTATATGGGTTGTGTAGAAAATAAAAGATGCGTTATTTCCAGATTATTGCCTAAGCCACTAGGAAGATAGCGGCTTTATTTACTGATGGGGGAAACTGTAGAAAGAGGGGTTAGAAATGCATTTCTTGGGGGATGGTTAGTATTGGGGGTTCAAGAGTTCTACTTTGAACATGCTTGGTTTGAGATGCCTGCTAGCCATGCAAGTGGAAATGGCTAGGGGGCAGTTGGATATATGAGTCTAGGGTTGAGAGGAGTCTGGGCCGGAGATACAGTTGGGAACTGTCATCAATTAAGGTAACAGGACTGGATGGAATCACCCAAGGAGGGAGTGCAGAGAGAGATGAGAACAGGAGAGAGGTGAGCCAGAGCTCTGGGGCACCCCAAGGTTCAGGGGTCAGGGAGATGAGGACAGGTCAGCCTACAGACTGAGGAGGTGAGGCTGGTAGGGAGGAAACAGGAGAGGGTGGGATCCCAGATGTCCCGGGGAGACTGTGTTTCAAGAAGGAGGACGTGGTCAACTGTATCAAATGCTGCTGAGAGGCTGTACTGGGAAGACAGAGAACTGGCAGTGGGGTTTGTCAAGGGGGATGTGGTTGATGAGCTTCACAAGAGCAGTCTCCATGGAGTGGTAGAAATGATCTCATCAGAGTGGGGTGAGGAAAGAACAGAGGTGAGCAGACAGTATTTATTAAGAAGTTTCACTCTAAAAGGAAGCCGAGACAAGGAGCAGTGGCTGCAGAGATGACATATAGTTGTGTTTGTACGGGAATGATGGGTGGAAAAGGAACGAATTCTTTACTGGGGTAGAGCCAACTGGTGTACAGGGAGACCGATATGCCTTACATCAGTGTGGCAGCATCACCCAAATGCAGGTAAGTGGGTGAATTTCGTGGTGGGAGATGAGGTAGTCCTCACCTGATGACAGCCTCTGCCTCCTTGTCTGTGAACTGACAATTTCACGAACACTGAGAGCTACAGGTGTTAAAGATGAAATGAGATAATTTCTGTAAAAGCCATACTCCTTCTAGTGTTATACCAAGGGGCTCTCTCTGAGTCTGCACCAAGGATTGAGATTCTCTGGAGGTGGACCCAGGAATCTCTATTTTATGAGCTATTGGTGAATCCGATGAGCAACCAGGCTGAGAACCACTGAGTAATCCTGGCATTATTTTTATGGTTATCATTAATATCATCCTAGTATCAAATGCCCAGTCTAACCATAGTAGGGAAGTGGAGGAAGTGTATGGGAATAGGAGTCGAGGTCTGATTTCTAACCAACCCCTTTACTGCTCACTGTCTGCAGGTTATAGAACATATTGTTTTGTCCAACATCCAAGAACCCTCCGAATCTGGCCACAGTATTCCTCTCCTGCCTCACCTCGCATACAACCTCTTCACAAACTTATACTAGACTATACACCAACAGGGATTTGCTCTGTGAGGCATCAAGGGGTAGAACTGGGACCTATCGATGTTCTTACAGGGAGAATATTTCGGCTTGTTGTGAGAAGTCATTTTTACAAACAAGCTACTACCATCTATGGGATGGAAGGTCAAAAGTGAGAGGCGGCATTATTGGGGTCCAAAAGCCAGGACAACATGGTGCAGGGGCTGAGGTTGCTGGGACCACAGAGAGGAGGCTGGGGCTGCGGAGGAGACACACCTGCTGCAGTGGGAGCACAGGGAGACGGAGGGAAATACTCTGGTCCTCCCTTCCCCTTCCTAAAGACTAACATCAGGCCTCTCATTGGCCAATCCTACCAGGAAGCTGGAAACAGAGGAGCCTGGGAAATGTAGTTCTCTTTGAAACAGCAGGGCAGAGAAAGGAGAAGGGATAAGAGGACCAACAGGCAAATGACAGGCACAGTGCCCAGTTATATACTCTTATAGCCTCTGTATCTTCCAGAAGCCACAAATTGTTACTAAATGACTTGTGTGTGACAATTTATTTGATGTCAGTTTCCCTAACTAGATTGTAAAGCCCATGAGGGTGAAGACAGGGATGACTCACATCTTCCTGGTGATGTACCCACTGTCTAGCACTCACTAAATATTTGCCGGTGGATACATGAGTGAAAGCTCCCACAGTGAGAGTCCAGCTCTTCCCACCACTGATTTCTTCCTAAGGCTGACACATCAGTCCTCAGAGCGCCGCAGGGAAGGGCCGTGAACACGGAGCAGGGCCATCAGAGTACAGGGTATTCTTTTCATACTTTGAGGTTCCACAGATAACAGAGATTAGTACCCTCAGGCTCATCTTTATTGAATCTTGAGTTTGAGAGAATCTGTGGAGTCCTGAGTCTGCATCAGAATAAGGGAGATTGGAATTTTTGTTTCAAGTCTCTGCTAAATCATAATATTTGCTTTTCCATCGTGATGTTCATTTAAATTACTTTTTGGAAAGTGAGATTGTATTTATTTTTTGAATAATTAGTACCGTCATCTGGCTTAACTTTGGAAAGGACCAAATGAACGTAAAGTCAGAAGTTTCCTTTTCCTTTCTGTCTTCTGGCTGCTTAGATCCCTTCCTGGAGGCAAGCAGTGTTAACAGCTTTTTGTGTATCATTCCCAAGGTTTGTGCCTATCTCTGCACACACACACGCGCGCGCGCACACACACACACACATTTCTTTATCACACAAATTGTTGCATATTCTACACAAAGTTCTGTACCTTGTTCTTTGCACTTAACAATATATCTGGGAGACCTTTCTATATCAGAATATAGATAATTTATATTATCTATTATCAGAATATATATTATATATATCAGAATCTATATTATCTATTATCAGAATATAATCATAATTTACTTAAATAGTTCCTTATTAAAGGATACTAGGGTTGTTTCAATCATTTGCTGCTATAGAAGATGTTGCAATGAGCAATCTTGTACCATCATCATTGCGCTGCAAAAGTCATTAACTTTGGGATTCTCCAAGATGTAGGATGGGGAAAAAAATTTAATTGAAATCTTGAGATAAGTCAGAAATAGTGGAAAGAGCTCTGGCCTGGAAGTTAGGAGGTCTAACTCCTAAAAGTAATAACAGAGTCCCCTTTCAAGTCTGTAGCTCCTTTCAATTTATAAAACAAATTAATATCTGTTAACTCATTGAGTCTTTAGGGAAAAAAATATCCTGTAAGAGGGTAGGATGTGTCCCCTTCTCCTTGATTCACTAGTTGTATGACCTACAACAAGTTTCTAATTTGTCTGTATCCTGGTTAACTGATCTATAAAACAGAAATAATGATAATTCCTACCTCATAGCATCATTTTGAGCAGTAAATGAGCTACTCATGCAAAGTGCTCAGAATGGCAGCTGTCATATGGCAGGAGTTCCAGAAACGTGAGCTGTCATGATCGTTTTGCAGGTGAGGGCAGGAAAACACAGAGTGAGAAAGTACAAGTCTCCTGGCTCATAGAAGATGGAGCTGGTCAGGAATGCAGGCCCCCAGGCCTCCGACCAAGGCAGGCTTCTCAACCACAAGGCCTCAGGGATATGTTCATAAACAGTGAGAGCAGTCCTGGCACAGAGCAATTCGGAGTAATTATTGCCATAGGAATTCGGCCCACCTTGTTTGAGGGGATTAGTTCAGCCTCACACCCAGTGCTGTAGTTCATCAAATCGAAGACGCCATTGGGTGTAAGAAGCATTGTTATATGAACCCCTGAGAAACAAAGAAAGAAAGAAAAAACCTGTGCACTAAAGTCATAGGATGCTGTGCTGGTTATCAAGCTACTGTCTCTCAGCTCCAAAATTACTCTTCTGTGCTCTGCTCTGTGATGCGGGGGCCGGGACCTGCACGCCTCATCTGCCCTTTGCCAAGAGGGGCACCAGAGGAAGAGGGACAAGGGGCTTGGTCCTCTTGCTTTGCCTGAATTCCCTCCCAGTCCCAGCAGTGACTTTGGTAGTTGATTCCAGTTCCCAGCTTTTATCCACTCCTCAGAACTAGACTTCTGATGCCCCTCAGAGGAACAGTCCCAGGGAGCCAGCGCCCACCCCGGAAGTCCCGAGCAGCTCTTGGGGGCCCCCTTCCAAGGCCTCGAGGTGTTAGCACCACATGGGCAGCACTCCCTCTTCAGAGGTCGCCTTTCAGACATCTCAGTCCTCCATTACCTGCTTAACCAATTCCCTATGTTAAATTCTCTCTGTGAAAATAACTAGAGTGGTTTCCATTTTCCTGCCTGGATCCTGACCCATGGATTGCAAGCCATATCTTGACTTCAGAAATTTTAAATGAAAGTGTTAGATTCAATGAAATAAAATACTGCAACAGGGGAATTCACAGAATGTCAGGGCTGACAGTGCCTTTGGAAGTGACCTAATCAACCCCAGTGGTGAACCTAGAGGAAGGAAGTGCCTTGCTCAGGGTCACACAGCCAAAGGTGGCAGTGGGGACAGTGGGGGGATGGTGGGAGGTCTGGACCCTGCTTCTGACCCTTAGGCCAGTGCTCTTTTCACTGTGTCTGTATCTTGCTCTGCTGACCCTTCTGACAGGCCTGATCCCTGTTCCTGGGATGGACAGGCTAGTGACAGCCTCATGGTGGGGTGTCCTCATCAAACCCCTCCTTTTCTTCCAGGAAGTACACTTTGCTGGTCAACAATGGGTTTGCAATTTGCGCTGCATTGCTGATGGCCTGTTCCCTCCAGGCAGGAGCCTTTGAAATGCTCATCTTCGGACGTTTCATCATGGGTGTGGATGGAGGTAAGACTTCACTATGGTGGTGGGAGGGGGCAGTAACACATTTATGGGGGTGTTTCAAAATGTGAGGAGTGGGCTGGCCAGGTGGCGTAGTGGTTAAGTTCATGCGTTCTGCTTCGGTGGCCCAAGGTTCGCTGGTTTGGATCCTGGGCGCGGACCTACGCCCTGCTCATCAAGCCATGCTGAGGCGGTGTTCCACATAGAAGAACTAGAAGGACCTACAACTAGGATACACAACTATATACTGGGGCTTTGAGGAGAAAAAAGAAAAAAGAGGAAGATTGGAGACAGATGTTAGCTCAGGGCCAATCTTCCAAAAAAAAAAAAAGAAAAGAGAAAGCAAAAAAAAAATACAAGGAGTGTTTGGAGTTGTCACATGACTGGGCCCCTACTGGTATTGAGTTGGCAGAGACCAAGGATGCAAGACCCCTGCATCAAGTGGGGCAGTCCCATGAGATGACCACTCATGATGCTCTAGCTCCTCATTGAGAAACACCAACTGGGAAGGACCCAGCCAACCCCAATGACCTGCATGGTCATGTCGTCTACTTTGTCATCTTCACCATAAAATTCATGTTCCAAGGTCATCTGTTGTTTCCAGGGAGATTTTATGAGGGTTGTGTTTCCTGTCTGGGCCTCTGACTCATTCATTCTTTCATTTATTCACCAAGCATTTATGGAGCACCTGCTGTGCTTGGTGTTCTTCTACACGCTGGGGACACAGTGGTGAACGAGACCCCCAGGCCTACCCCTGGAGCTCACATTCTCGTGGGTGGACAGATACATCATTAGATACATAAGGTGGGTAGTGGCCAGCCCCAGGAGGAAAATGAAGCAGGGCAGGAGGATAGCGAGGGCTATTTTAGATAGGCCACTCAGGGCAGACTGCTCGGAGGAGGACACATATGAGCAGAGACCAGAATGAACCAAAGGCAAGAAATGAGTGAGTATTGGAGGAATTGGCTTCCTGGCAGAGAGGAGTGCAATGGCCCTGAGGTGGAAGCATGCTTGGCATGTTCAAGGAAGAGCGAGGAGCCAGTGTGGCTGGAGCTTGGTGAGCCGGGGGAGAGTGGATGCAGATGAGGTTGAAGAGGGGCTGGTCAGATCACATAGGGTTTTGTAGGCCATGTGAGGACTGCAGATATCTGCTGAGTGTGAGAGGAAGCCAGGGGAGGGTTGAGAGGAATGTGGCATGAGCTGGTTTATGTTTCAATGAGATCCCTCCTGCTTCTGTGGAGAGGAGAGTGTAAGGGGCGGGCAGGAGTGGAATCAGGGGACCAGCTGTCCAGGAGAGATGGCTGTGGCTGGCACAAGATGGCGGCAGTGGACGTGGTGAGGCGCGGCCAGATTCTGCCTGTGGGGTGTGAGAGTAAGAGGCTCAAAATATATTGTCAAAACAAACAAACTTGCTATCTTTCTAAATACGCAAGTCTGTGAACTATTACTTTTAGGCATTTGTGATCACAGGCTTTAGGATTAGAAATCCCCGGGTTTGAATCCCAGCTCTGCTGTTTGCCAATTACTGACCTTCGACAATTACTTAGTGGTTCTGAGCATCAGTTTCCCCATTCGTAAAATGGAGATAATACCTGCTTTGAAGGGCTGTTCTAAGGCTGCCATGAAGCCACATACATATAAACTGCCTAATGCTGCTGAAACCCAGGATGAGCTCGTTCAAGACTAATTCCTTTCCTTGTGGATCTCTTACAAGCTGAGGGCACCAGGCTTTACGAGTGAGCTGAACAACAAAGAGAGAGGTGAGCGGGAGAGGGAGGGGCCCAAAAAAAAAGGTCCGAGAGGAACAGACTTCACTAACCTTCATTGCTCTGCTGGTGGGACATAACTCAGGACTTTGTAAAACCCCAACCTTGGGATGAAATTACTCCTCGGTCTTGGTATTCAAGCAGAAGGTAGATGCCTATAGAAAGAGTTAATTGGTGAGAATAGTGCTGGTGTTTATGTAGTGTTTTATAATTGACCAATCATGTTCATGTATTTCATCTCCCTTGATCTACTAACCCTGAAAACCTGTTATTTTGTTGTCATTTTACATATGAGGACACTGAGGCTCAGAGACGTGCGACAGCAAAGTGGTTAAGGCTGAGGGCTATGGATTCAGACCTCCTGGGTTACTAGGTTACAACTACCTAGTGTAGTGTACCACTAGCTAGTGTAACCACTAAGTCACACTTACCTAGGTTAATTTCATTACCTTGTCTGAATCAGATTTTGCTGCATAAAAAAACAACAACCCCAAACCTAACGGCTTAAAGCAGTAACCATTTTGCTGAGCTCACAATTCTGCGGGTTGGCAGGGCAGTTCTGATCTGGGCTAGCTCTGCTGATCTCCGCTGGGCTCTCTCACGTGTTAGTGGTCGGCTGTAGGCTGGTCAGCTGCTGGATGACTTTGGATGGTCTCTTGCACATGTTTGGTTGTTGGCAGGTGGGTTGGTCTCAGCTCATCTCTGCTCCTCTCTCAGCCTCTGATGGAGTGGCCCAGGTTTCCTTCACATGGAGTTCTCGGGGTTCCAATGAGCAAGAAGAGGGGCAAGTCCCAACATGCAAGCACTTGTCAAGTCTCTGCTTCCGACACGTTTGCTAGTGTCCCATTGGCCAAATCAAGTCCCACGGTCAGGTGTAGAGTGAGCGTCAGAGGGGTCTAACCACCCAAGGATGTGGACTCAGGGAGAGGGAGCAAATTAGGGGGCACCCAGCAACAGTCTGCCTCGTTGTCTTAGCCCATCTGGCAAAGGTCCTGAATCAGGAGTCCCCCCTTGTTGGGAAGGTAAAAATTCACTGACAGACTGTGTGTCTGAAGCACTTTGTACATTCTAGCATTTAGTACCTTCCCCCAGTGCCAAGGGCAGTAGTACCATTGCCATGATTGTGGTTGTTATTCTTTTATTCTCAGTTAATAAGGTGCAGATCCAGGTTTGGACCAAGATGGTCTGGTTTCAAAGACCCTGTCTGCTTAGGAGAAAGAGTGAATGAGACTGGAGCATATAACCCTGAAAGTCCTTTCCTAACGGAGACCACTGGGTGTCTCTCTTTCTGGCAGTTTTGTATTTTCCCTGTTTAGCCTCTTTCCTGTTGCTTTGACTGTCTAGCTGTTCTGGGGGAGGGGACACTTATTAAGCATAACTAGTTGCTCTCTGAATTTCCTTAAAAATAAGCTGGATTCAAAGAGAGATGCCATTTTTACAAAACCACATATTCAAGACAAATGTCTTTTAGACCCCTTGTTCTATGAGCTTTTCCAAAGGAAACAGAAAAAAAGCAAAACAAAACAAAACAAAACATAAGAACAAGGAGGGGAGGAAAAAAACAACTCCTTCTGACTTCTGGAACATGGCCAATTGGAGTTGGGCCAAGATGTGGAGGCTCATGTCATTTATTCTCACCATACCCTCTCAAAGAGAGACAGGAATTTGAAGGCATTTAAGGTAAGGTAATTGGTCAGGAAGAAGGGAAAATTGCTGGTCATGAGATAAATTGGCTGCCTTCCTCATAATAAATAATTTAAAGCCAAATGATAAGCCTGGAGGATTTTCAGAAGGCTGTACTGCTCACCCCAGGTTCTCACGGAATATTTGGAACCAGAGTAGAAACACTGGACGCCTTCCTGAAGTGTCCTTTTCCTAAAAGACTTGGAGAACACATAGACACATTATTGTTACATTGAAACAAATATGATATAGTATGGTGTTGCAGGCAAAATCCAGGCAGATTGTAACGTTGAAGTAAAAGTGCAGAAGTGTTTGTGGAAGATTGTGTTGAACAAGTCCCTGCCAAGCCTTCCCAGAGCTGCCCACTCTCCCAGCGGTGCAAGTACACGTCTGTTGCATTGGGAGCTCTCTATTGGACAAGTCCACGTCTGCTGCATTAGGAGCTCTCCGGTGGACAAGACACGTCTGCTGC